CTTGTACTAAACACAGCAAGGAAGTGATCTAATTTAATTGTCATGACCATACTGCTCTTATATGTAGTGTTTGTGTGACCCTTGAACACAAACCAACATCCTGTAATGTTGACTACATACCTGATATATCAGGACAGATTTCAGACAGCACCGAGTTCAAGGAAGCTCTGAAAGATATTGATAAATTGACAAACAAATCCTCCCAGATTACAAGTGACCTGAAACAAAGAGTTGCTAAAACAACTTCTCTTAATGATGCTATAGCAGAAATTCAAAACTTTAGAAAAGAGATAAACAAGAGATTAGATAAACTAGAAAAAGGTGGTAAAAGATGCTGCTACAACAATCCAACAAGACAACAACAACAAGTTGAAAACAACAAAAACAACATGTGATGACATCAACGAATCACTACAAGCATCAACTGATACTCTGAAACACCTCAATTCAAACAAGAAAACTGGCCAACTGTTTACTGAACTTAAGATAGCTCAGCAACTGATTCAAGATAATAGCAATATATTATCACAACTGTCAACAATCAATGACATTGATGAGTACATCTTTGAACCAAATAAAGATATCGAGAAATTCTTTCAAGATCAGAAATCATTATGAACATTGAGCAGTAAGAATAAGAAACAGCCAGCTGAACAAAAGAATCAAGGTGCAGAAGCAATGAAATTGTCTACCCCTAGAAAACTCAATGCTAAATCATTCTCAGATTAAAAGAATTGCTGGATTTCTGGTATTGCTGTTACTCCTCAAAATCAATTATTTGCAGCAGATTGCTATAATTGCTCTATTAAAATGATAGAAATTAATAGTGGAACAATAAAACAACAATTAAAGCTTGGCTCAGCACCCTGGGATATCACCATTGCCTCCAGTGATTCACTTGCTGTTACATTATCAGACAGTTAAACAATACAGTTCATTTCCGTCTCCGAATACTCACTGTCACTAAAGAACAAACTGAAGGTAGATGGACAGTGCTCTATTGGTATCAGTCATCATCAGGGAAAACTTGCAGTAACATTTCCAGCACCTGCTAAACTACAAATCATGGGTTTGAAAGGTAATACTGAAATTACAGTTGATAAAGATTCCAATGGTGGTAATATAATCATTTATCCTGAGTATGTCACAACAAACAGTCATTCAATCTATGTATCTGACAATGACAAATCTGCAGTTTTACGATTTAACTGGCAGGGATAGGTGAAAGGATCAGTAGGAATTAGTAGTGATTAAAGAACCAAGTGGTATAACACTGTTAGATGATGGGTCTCTCTTAGTGAATGGTTGCTCAAGTGATTGTATACATTGAGTAAGTGGTGACTGTAAAGACAGTAAAACTATACTGGAGGATGTAGATAGTCCTTATGCTGTATGTTGGTGTGCTGAAAGTAGTACACTTTGTGTTAGTAGAAAATATGACAATGACAGTGATAGCAATTATATCAAATTGTATAAAATGGTGTAAAAGACATGACAAGATATGACATGACACTATAGATGTTCCGACATATAAGATGTTTATTAATATATCTATTGTGAAAAATTTTAGCGTAGAATACAAACAGATGTCTGACAATAAAGTACTTAAAATACAGAACACTTAAAATGTACACATAATAATCAGTTCTACACCTTTCCGGACAAAATAATTTTTTACTTTTCAATTTTCATCATTGAACATAAAGTGCAAATGTGAAGAAAAGAAAAAATATAAGAGAGAGAAAATCAAAATGCCAGAATTGCAGTTAGAGTTTTATTTTTTTACCAATCACCATGTATATCATTATATATATTATACTAGCATGTGTAATACTTTGTATATTTTATGCCATATAATGCTACATTTAACTATTTTAAAGCATATTTCTATAAGAAATTGTAGTATTGTGACTTAAATCTCTTTATTTGTTTCATAACATACATGTATATAGCTTTAATCTGTAAGACCCCATACTGTATAACAGTACAATATGTCATATGAACAATAATCTTTCTCTCATGTTATATTATAAATAGGTCTGGCATTAATGATTTTGACAAATTGGTAAAATATTATAAAATTGTTATCTTTATTATCATTATTAACTTTGTAGAGTCTTAAAAGAAATCTCTTGTTCCTCTGTAAATGTATATCTCAGTATATTGTATGTATATGCCTAAATGTTGAAAATTATATTGTGAAAAATCTGTAAAATAAAACATCTTCCTATGCCCTTTACAATTAAATAATTGTCATGGCTAAATTTGACAGCTAAACTTAATGTCATGAAGCTTAAAAAATTCATGAAATTTCCTTTAGAAATTAAATGATTATTTCGATAGAGACAGCAACATATCTATATATCTTCATAACATAATTAGAGAGGTAAAAAAATACAATGAAATTGAGATGCGGGTCCTTGTTTAAAGTGGCAAAATGGTTTATAATAATATGGTCTGTAACAATTTGATTCATAACAATATGTTCTATCACAAATTGGTTAATGACATAAAATTCCGTGACAATTTGATTCCTGAAAATAATTTGTGTGTCAATTTGATTTATGAAATTACAGGCTGTGGCTATTTGCATCAATTGATATAATATTCCACCACAATTTGATGCATAACAACATGTTCTGTAATAAATAGAGCATATTGAATGACTTTAAGTTCAATACTGAATTTATTGAACGAGTTGAAAAAATTATATTATGCGACCCTCTGGCAAGCATAATATTATTTCATTCAACAAGTTCAATAAAATCAGTAATGAACTTACGCGAATTTAATATTTTATTTATCATATACTAAAATAGAGGCCATTTGAAGTGATAACTATTTTCATTGATGCGCTTCTAGTGTAATGCTAGTCTTAACACTATGTATATGACGCAAATGACGTCACGTCAAAATATATGCACGGCTCTGTGCATTACCATATTTACGGAGCCGCAAAAACCGCACGGGTATGGCAAAAACCGCACAGGTATGAGGTAATTTTGTTTATGACATCATATTCTGTGATAATTTCAATCTTGACATTTATAACATTCTGTCACAATTTGAGTCATAACAAGAATGTCCTATGACAGTATTTTTGTTCATGACGTTTCAAAGTGTGAACATTTGGATTATAAGTTATAACATAACATTCTGTGACAATTTTATTTATATGACATTTTATTCTGTGTTAATTTTATTCATAATGATATGTTCTGTGACAATTTGGATTATGACTTTATTATATTTTTGTGACAATTTAATTTATGACAATTTGTTTAATGCTACTCACTGCAGACAGGCTCACTTTTGAAAAATTTTCCATGTAGAGAAGTTGACAATTTTTTGTGGAGAAAAAAATAAATTCGAACTCCTGCTGGATGTGCGAAAACATATAAAACAGATTTAAATGTTGATGCTGCACATCAAAGACGCCACCAAATGATGTGAGCAGTCAATCAGCATTGAAAATCATTCTTTATTACAGTTGAATATCTGAAGTACAAATCAATTTTTTTTTCTCTGTGTTCTTGGTATGTGGTCGTTGTTTAATATTTAAAATGCATATTTTTGTGAAAAAGTAGAACCTAATGCATAAATTCACAAAGTAATGCCATGTCTGAAATTCTGAAATGTTTGTCGGTTGTGACAAAGATTGAAACGTCTGATCGAAGTAATATAAATTGGATAACAAGTAAAATTGAAATGATTAGTATACTTTGTTTGTTTGTTTGATTGGGTTTTACGTCACACCAACACAGTACAGGTCATTTAGCGACGTTCCAGTTTTGATCGTGGAAGAAGACCTCAGGTGCCCTGGAGTGCATTATTTCAGACACGAAGAGGCACTTGAGTAGAACCACCGACGTTCCGTGGGCTAGCTGAAAAAAATCCTCACATGAAATAATTCAAAGTCCCTGTCGGGATTCGAACCCACAGCGGTGAGGGGCAAGTGGTTTGAAGTCAACGACCTTAACCACTTTGCCACGGACACCCCCATTAGTATACTTTAATTAAATTCAAGACAATATGTGCCGAAAGTATGTCCATTTAAATATTGGTACGAACTGCATAATGTTCGAATGATTTTGAGGACGAACTATTATGCAGTGACCTCTTACCGGTGCGTATTTTCTTAACGGTTCAGGGAAAGCCTATCTAACAGTGGGCGTGGTTTAGGCTTTGTAGCTTGTAATTTAAAGATTTGACAAGTGATAATTATCAAAGTTGTCCTGGTTCGATCCCTTCCGCCCCATCAAAGAAGACTAAATGTATGTATGTATTCTAGGCTAAATGAGGGTCCATCCGCCCTTTCAGGCACTGAAAGTATGGACAGACTAAATGATAGCATACGGAGGATCATGTTCAATTTGGTGACAATTTAAGGCGGATCCGAACTTCAACAGAGGCAGAGCAAATGAAGTGAGTGACACTGCATCAGTCGTTACCTCTCTCAACGGTTAAGTTTTAGAATGATGGACTATAGACTGACTCATTGGCACGTTATTTATTATGTAGATAAAATTATATAATAATAAAAAGAATATGATATTCAAATATGACACTATCACTTCAGTTAAACATTTATTCTAATCCGTTAAAGCTCTGTGACATGCTGTACATCAGAAAATCTATTTGTATCAGAAAATATGAAAACTGTGTGATTTTGTTAAAAAAAAATAATACACAGAATCAAGTCTAAAATTTTCCCCATTGCTGTATGGACAAATGCATATCTAGATCTACTAGACGCCGCTTGCAGGCGTCTAATAATACAAGAAAAATTTAATACGTATTAAAAAATATTGCTTAAAATTTGTCTCACTTTTATAACATAAGACAAAACATTGATTTATAATTTTATAGCGAAGACATGTTTCATTTCAAGAGCTATCCTTGGGATTGTGAAGAAGGATATTTGTTTTGGTATCAAGTTCAGCAAGATATCATAAAATGTTAAATTTGTTTGTACAGCGAGATAGCATTTACAAAAAGTGAAATTCCTTTGTAAATTTATATCATGTAACATACTTTTCAAATATTGAACAAGTTTTGGCTTGTGAATCAATAACTTTATCTTTACCAACTGATTTTTTAAAGTTTTCATATCAGCGGATAGACTAGAAAGGAATTCACTTGTCAGATGAGAAACATTAAAATTACTACACTTTGTGCATTAAGAATATCACAGTAAGCAGGATAAACCATGGTGAGTTTATAATCTTATTTTAAATCTATGTTTTTAAAAGTAAATAAAACTTAACTTTACAATATCTTATTTATGAACATTATAACATTTACCTACAATAACCTTGACAATAATTTTACTGTACCCCACCCACATCTTTCCTGATTTTTAATGTAACTTGTTCTAGATGGGGTAGAGGTAAGCATAAAAGATTTTTCAATAATTAATATAAAAGCAGTTCCGTACGTGATAAAATAATCTGAAATTATGTTTTCAACACATTACTTGAAGTTAACATGAAAGTTCAGATCAGGTGGTAGTTACATATTATTTTGGGCAGTTAACACTCGTGGTTATAGAATATGAATCAAATTTCCTCCTTATGCAAATTCAGTGCTAGTCATAAATATTTGTATGCAATTTGTGTATTCCAGGTTAATAATGGCTGTTCCTGGTAAAAGGGCATCTCGGAAATTCTCATCTACACTATCTCGGGGTGGTGCTGAAGATTTTGACATTTATTGTGAAATATGTGACAGAGCTGATATCAGGCTTCCTGCCTATGGTTACTGTGTAGATTGTGAGGAACACTTATGTCAATCATGCTTCAAAACTCACAGACTACCAAAACCACTACGCCATCACCAACTTTTAGATAAAGATCACATGCCACAACAACAAAAACTCCATGGATCATCAAAATCTAGTTCCAGTCCACAGACTGGTGATCTTATAAAGCCTTGTACTAAACACACCAAAGAAGTGATCAAATTCTATTGTCATGACCATAATGCTCTTATATGTAATGTTTGTGTGACCCTTGAACACACACCAACATCCTGTCATGTTGACTACATACCTGATATATCAGGACAGATTTCAGACAGCACCGATGTTAAGGAAACACTAAAAGATATTGATAAATTGACAAACAAATCCTCCCAGATTACAAGTGACCTGAAACAAAGAGTTGATAAATCAACAACTTCTCTTAAAGATGCTATAGGAGAAATTGAAAAATTTAGAAAAGAGATAAACAAGAGATTAGATGAACTAGAAAAGGAGGTTAAAGATACTGCTACAACAATCCAACATGAAAACAACAACAAGTTGAAAACAACAGAAACAACATGTGATGACATCAACAAATCACTTCAAGCATCAGCTGATACTCTGAAACATCTCAATTCAAACAAGAAAACTGACCAACTGTTTACTGAACTTAAGAGAGCTCAGCAACTGATTCAAGATAAAAACAATATATTATCACAACTACCAACAATCAATGACATTGATGAGTACATCTTTGAACCAAATAAAGAAATCAAGAAAGTCCTTAAGGATGAGAACAAATTAGGAACATTGAGCAAGAATGTAAAGCAGCCAGCAGAACCAAAGAATCCAGGGGCAGGAGCAATGAAAATGTCTACCACAAGACGCATTAATGCTAAATCATCTTCAGATGAAAAGAATAGCTGGATTACTGGTATAGCTGTTTCTCCTCAAAATCAATTATTTGCAGCAGATTACTATAATGAATCTATTAAAATGATACGCATTTATACTGGAACAATAAAAGAATTAAAGCTTGACTCATCACCTTGGGATATCACCTTTGTCACAAGTGATTCACTTGCTGTTACATTACCGGAAAGTAAAACAATACAGTTTATTTCCTTCTCCCAGGACTCACTCTCACTAAAGAACAATCTGAAGGTAGATGGACATTGTTGTGGCATCAGTAATCATCTGGAAAAACTTGCAGTCACATTTTCAATACCAGTTAAACTACAAATCATGGATTTGAAGGGTAATACTGAAATTACTGTTGATAAAGATTCCAATGGTGACAAAATTTTCAATCATCCTGGGTATGTTACAACAAACAATAATTCAATCTATGTATCTGACTCTGGCAAGGATGTAGTTCTAAAATTTAACTGGCAGGGAGAGATAATAGGAGTAGTAGTAATAAAAGAACCAAGTGGAATAACACTGTTAGATGATGGGTCTCTCTTGGTGAATGCTAGAAACAGTCATTGTATACATAGAGTAAGTGGCGACTGTAAAGATAGTAAAACTATACTGGAGAATGTAGACAGACCTTATGCTGCATGTTGGTGTGCAAAAACCAGGACACTTTGTGTTAGTCGAATAAAGGAGGACAGTGATGACAATTATATCAGATTATATAAAATGATGTTAAAGACATGAAAATATATGATATGTCACTAACAATTGGATAAGTTCATCAGATCATCATTCATTCAACATTCAATTATAGAAATTATTGTAACATTATGATATCACATTTAACTTTAGGTTTGTTGATCTATGTATGTATAAATGTATAATTATTTTCAAAAAAAAAAATATATATATATAAAATTTACTTTTATTTTTCATTTTTTATCACTTAACATAAAATTTGAAGGTGAATTATAATGCTTTATTACATGCTTTTCGGTGGTTTATAGAAATATATCAGTGATATAAAATTGGTAATTTCACTGTTTGAAACAGTGAAATTACCACTTTGATAATTTCACTGTTTCGAATTTAAGCCCCTTACGTTGTTTCAGTGAAATACCAGCGTGCACAGTACTGGGTACAAACTTAATGACGTGACGTCGTAAATGACGTCACGTTGTATTATTATTTGGCGCGCTTTTCATTCAGTATTAGGTTTAATGTCTTTTTAAAACGTTTCTTTGCATGTAATAAAAAGAAAATTTGTTTAGTTTAGTGTGAGATCGAAATATATTTCACCTTGTGAACACCAAAAGTTCACATTTCACTCGTGGCTGCGCCACTCGTGAAATATACCTTTTGGTGCTCACTCGGTGAAATATATTCCGATCTTACACTGAACTAAACAAATATCCTCTATTTAATGATCATTTTTTAGAATTTTATGTGATATAAAGGATAATTATTATTTTTTGATGTATTCTTACACTTACAGCGCAATAGAATTCTACAAAAATAAAGAAGACGTAATATTAATATTTTGAATTTGTGAAAATTTAAGATTAAGGTTGTTCACCCCTAATGCACTATCTCCACTTTGAAGAGTATTCAAATAGGCTAGAATCACTGTCAAGTCAATAGAAACTGAGGGGCGTGGGTTCAAACCCCTGAAGGGGCAACTTTTTTTTCTCTCTTTTTTTTTCTTTTCAACATTTTTTATGAATCTCTCAGATCCCTTATGGAAGAAAAAAGTGTTTAATTTTAATTATATAATTATTGTAGTTATTTATTTGCAAAATAATACCAATAGCAAATATGATACCAGATATTTTCAAAGCTTAATAAAATGAAAACTACACGGTAAAAGTATTTTATATTCTGCAAAACCAACTAATACACATTTAAGAAAATTTAGGCAAAATTTGAAAATAGCTCCTCATTATGGTAAATTTCAGGGATATTTTGAATACGTCTTTTTACATAGGGAAATGGTCAAATAAGTGTTTAAAGTTGGTTGGTAGGGTTACATTTTTATACATATTAAAAAAATTTCGTTTACAAACAATCATTTTGCTCGTTTAATTTGTTACCTGTATGTCATTATTTGTTTCTTAGCAATGAGCAATAGGAAAACATTTTTCATTGTGATGATATTATAATTTATTTAGAGTTCCCTAATTTCTGAAGAAAAAAAACACCTTCTAATGGCAAAGTTTTAGTTCATAAAAATGTCCATAACTCATAAACTCCACGGTAAAGTTTGTTTAAATTTTGCATACAGGTGAGATATAAGCCATATAATTGTCCTATGTTGTCAATTTCACACTTCCTTATCGTGCCCATTAGGGTGTTCTACCTTAAGTTATTGCACTAAATATATGTGACTAAAGAAGTGAATAAAAAAATGCAAAACACATCAATGTAGATCTAAATTAAGTATAACATATAAAGTTTTGTACAAAATCATCATGAAAATGCCAATAAAATAATCTGATTTTTGTTATTTTGTACAGCATATTGTTTGTATATAGTCATCATTTCATGTAAACACAAAAAAATTATTAAATTTCATGAAAAATATTGCCTACCTACTTATTTTTCTAGTAAAAAAACCAACAAAAGCACCACATGATGTCCAAAAAGGAGTATTACCTTTTGATGTGAATTTAAATATAATTTAAGTGAATATCCTCTTTAAATTAAACTTTTACCTTGTTAAGAGGGAGATTGGACAGCCTGTTACTGCTTTTTGTTCTAGTCTGAATTGCAAAAATAGGTGTTGTAGTCATAATTATGATCTTAAACAGTTTTGGGAGTGACAAAATGTTTGTTTTAATTTCAAACCTTATTAAATGTAGCCAATGAACTACCAGAAATTTACCATGTGATCTCCAAATATATAGAGGATGGGTGATTATGCTTTGATATCATATCAAAGGGAAAAGTGAGAAAATTACAAAACATGCGTATCTACGTGGATATTTTCTCACTTCAATGTGTGATATATATAGCATGTTAACAATAAAACCAAACACAGTTTCTTAGTATTTTATGTTTTATATATAAAATAACAGGAATTTCCTACAGTTTTCATTGAATTATTGAAATAAAGACCACATTAAGGTGTTGACGTTTGACATGTTATGACTACATCAACCCTAAACTAGTAAAAGTAATTACATGTATGGTTTGAAGTCATTACTAACTTGCTACTGATGTGTTACTGACTTTTTTAATTGAGACCATTAATCAAAATTATAACATAATTATAGAAATTTAACCCATAACCTGCTGAATTTGGGCAATGACCTCCATACTCATTATTAATTTTGGAAATATTCAAATGAAAATTAAAAAGTTAATGAGCCAACAGTACTGAGGCTCTAACCAGAATTTATGGATGGGCAGGTTGACCTGGCTCTATACTGGTGGAAAAGACTTATCACTTTACTTCCCTTCAGCTTAAGGGTTATAAAAAAATTGTATATCATACAAAAAGTACAACGTGCTCTGTGAAAACAAAGTTAATAGTGGAACTACCATATAAAATACACGTAACAGCACATCACCTTGCTGTAGCCTAGTTTGAAAAAAATGCCTAAAGGGTATAGGACTTAAATAGCACACACAACATAGTCTAATGTTTTGACCTTCAGGGTGACATTAAGCTTAGGCTGGAACATCATTGGCTTGGGTTCAGGCATCATCTTGTTTAACCCATTACGTGACATACACACCTTTTAACGCCTTTTTCTGCCCCCCCCCCTTTCTGTTGTCTCAAATGGTGAAAAAATGCCTTATTTAAGCCCCAAACACTTGATTTTTGTTTGAAAAATGTTGCTTAAAAAAGTGACCACTTTTTCGGCGCGGCCCCCAACCAAAAGATACATCAGGGGGTTGCCAGTGAGGGTATGTGCCCCCTTCTGTTTGGGGGGTTTGAAGGGGCCGGCAGTCCCCCTCATCGCCAAGAAAATTTTGGACTTGTTAGAGGCTAAAAATGACCCCAGCTTAACCATAAGGTAACGTGTAACCAAAGGTGAAAAGCATTTGACTCTATCTCAATCCATTGAGAAGTTGCAGCACTTTGAAATCAATTTTGATAGAAAACATCACCGCAAAATAGTTATTTTCGGCAATTTTGAGATGTCCCCTCGTTGCCATGGTAACAGGAAATTTAAGCCTGAGCATGTTGTTGCAAAGGCAATGGTCCAATTAACATTTGTGCCAAGTTTGAATAGTATTGAAGCAGTTTTCATAGTTTTATATCAATTTGAACTTGTAACGGGAGACTTTTCAATGAAAATAGTCATTTTTTAAACAAAAGCCACCGCCGGGCGGGGGCAGCGCTCGACTTTTTACTTTCACTAAAAGCAAACAAAGAAATGCTTGAACAAAATCTTAACGTTTCCTTTTTTATAAAATTAATCGGTCTGTCTTGTCACAAAAGTTTTGTCTATATATTTTGTATATATATAAATATACTAAATTATATATATAAATATATATATATAAATAGAAACACGCAATTCTATAAATAGAAAATTCTATACATAGAAACATGCATTTCTATAAATAGAAACACGCAATTCTATAAAAAGAAAATTCTATAAAAAGATACACGTCGGAGAGTCATGTGGTGGTGTCACGTGGTTGACACGTGGTGGTGTCTTGTGGTGGTATCACGTGGTGGAGTCATGTGGTGGTGGTGGTGTCAAGTGGTGGTGTCACGTGGTAAAGTCACGTGGTTGAGTTACGTGGTGAAGTCACGCGGAAGAGTCCATGGTGGTTTCAGTGGTAGTCTTATGTGGTAGAGTCACGTGGTTAAGTCACATGGTGAAGTCTCGTGGTGGTGTCACGTGGTTGAGTCACGTGGTAAAGTCACGTGGTAGAGTCATGTGGTAGAGTCACGTGGTGAAGTCTCGTGGTTGTGTCACGTGGTAGAGTCACGTGGTGGTGTCACGTGGTTGAGTCACGTAGTGGTGTCACGTGGTAGAGTCACATTGTAGAGTCATGTGGTGGAGTCACGTGGAAGAGTCACGTGGTGGAGTAACGTGGTCATTAAAGAGCCCAAGTTTTTGATAAAATTAAGTATGTTCTGTTATAATATGAAGTTCATCCCTTCAAAGTTACAGCCAGTTACAGCCAAAACAATGAAAAATTCAATAATTTGAACTTCAAAGTCAAGGTCATTAATGAGTGAAGGTCTATGTCTGTCTGGTTCTTTTTAAGGGCTATCTTTGAAGATCATTATGTTCAAGTTTGAAGACAATCCATTCAAAAATAACAAAGTAACAGTCAATTATAGCCAAAAAATTGAAAATTTCAATAATTTGACCTTCAAAGTCAAGGTCATTTATGAGTGAAGGTCAAGGTCTGTCTGGTTATTTTTAAGGGATATCCTTGAAGATTATTATGTTATTAAGTTTGAAGACAATCCATTCAAAAATAACAAAGTTACAGCCAATAACAGCATGAACAAGCAAAATTTGGACTTTTAACCTTGAAGGTCAAGGTCATTTATGGATGAAGGTCAAGGTTAGTGTGGTCTACTGAAAGGTCTTGTCCAAAGGGTTGTTGTGGCCAAGTATGAAGACAATACACCAGGAAATAAAAAAATTATGATACAGGTACAAGTTTGCGGACGGGAACGGGAAAGGCAACGGCAACGCCGCTGCGACAATAGCAATACCTTTACTTTTTTTCAAAAAAGAAAGTCGAGCTAAAAAGGAACAAAGGAAACCTAGATGTGCCTCATGTAAGAGAGTTTCCTAATTGTAGGAAATTATGCCACATTTAGGGCGAATGTGAAACCTTCAAACTGTGTGACCTTAAGTGACATGCGACACATCATCATGGTGTGTTTGACATTTGTGCCATTTATTTTGAAATCCTTCCGTGCATGACAAAGTTACAGTCTGGACACGAATGTGC